TTAAAACATAAGCAATTATAAATATTACATTTGATTATTTGTTTATCAATTACTTGTCATGAAAAACACCCTTTCTTTACTGAAAGAAATTGATTGTGCATCAAGCTATCTAATGTTTTATAAGCCTTTTATAAATATCGCAGTTGTGAATTACATGCTTTAATAATAAAAGGACTTTTTTGTCTTAGCAAGAAACTCATTGGAAGATGGGTAATGATTCAGTGCACTTTCTTTATGTATTCCATCTCTCATATTACATAACAGACATGACAATTCAGTATATCCATTTAATACGATCAATATGTAAAGTAAAATGTGTCCTAATATATGACCTTGACCTGTCTTTGAAGAGTTATCTCCCCTCGTTTTTTTTTTATCAATAAAAATCAACTTAAAAATATCTGGTTTAATAAAATCGTTTTTAATCGTTATTTTATCTCCACCGTAGCATTCATAATTATTTTAGGTATTTGAATTTTTATTTTTATAAATTTGCCTGTCCCCATAGACTCAATGTAGTCTTTGTTGACTAATTACTGTTAAGTTAACCATATTTTTGAAAATTTCTCTTGTCTCTTTGTTAATCCTTTTTCTACTCTTAAATGGTTTAAAATTATTGTAATATCAGCATATTTAAGGGGATGGAATATCTTAGCCTATGATATTTGAATCCTGCAGTATGCATATTGAAAAGCGATAATAACGCGTCTTTTGAATCTTATTTACATGTAGAGGAACTGTAAGAAAACTTGACTTGGGGATTAACTAGCTAAGATATCAATTTTGCTTTTTTATATTAGCTCACCATAGTCAAAGGCTGTCCGTCTGCCGTCTTTTTTTTTGTATTTTTTTTTATATTTGCGACCTCTTCTCCAGAACTACTTTGCCATACTTGCCATGAAGTGTCCCTCGGTGAAGGGGATTCAAGTTTGTTCATGAAGACCCATACCTCGTTTCAAGGGGAGAAAATAAAAAACTAGTATAAATTTGAAAGTATCGTTTAAAAAATCTTCTTCACAAGAGCAACTTGACCAGATCTTATATGAAAGCTACCTGATACATGTATGTAATATAGATAAATTCAAGTTTCTTCAAATCATGACTTCCAGGAGAAGGGTAGGGTAGGGTCACAGTTAGAGATCAGAGTTTTGCATTGGAATTTATGAGAAAAAAAATTTTTAGAAACCTTTTAAACAACAACAGGGATATGATTATTTATATTATTATTCTATCATCATTAGGTAGTGTAGATTCAAGTTTTTGTTCAATTTATTGTCCTCGGGCAAAATAGGAGATCAAAGTTTTACACTGGAAAACCAGGGGAAGAAATCGAATGATGATAGTCATATTACATGTAATACTGAAACATACCAAAGTAATTTTGATTCAGGTTTAATCATATGGCCCCCGAGGTTAGAGTTGGGACTTCAGAAGGGTATCACAGTGTTAAAAGGGAATATGTAGGAACAATTACGGTACTTACTAAAATGGATGAATACGGTACTTAAAGAGGATGAATACAGTACTTTCTGAAGAAGCATTCATTATTTGTAACTTTTTCCCTACCTATTGACTTGTTTAATTATATAATTTCAGATTGTTTCCATAGTGCTGGCGATGAGAAGCTTCCTTTTCAAAGTGTTCCTGACATGTATCTTTATATCCTTTATGAGTATAATTCTGGTTACAAATACAGTAAAAAGACCTGAACACAATGATCTGAAAGAACCTTCCTCAGTCTACGGCATCACTAAAAGGGATCTGAATGACACCAGTCTAAACGTGTCTAAGGCAACAGCAACGCCATTTTATGCACAAATTACATATATGACAAACCCTTCTTCAATCTGCGATTCCTTCAAAACTTATAATGGAAGCAAAATATTAATACTCGTGAAATCTTCTCCAGAAAATTTTCATTTCAGAAAATGGATACGTTTTAAAAGTCAGAGGTACAAAGACTTCAGAGATTCGGTTAAGACGTTGTTTCTGTTAGGCCAGTCTGTCACTAGAGACAAGGATGTTCTTAAAGAGAGCAAAATATACGGAGACATTATCCAGGGAAATTTCGTTGACGCTTACAGAAATCTGACGTATAAAACAGTGATGGGGTACAGATGGATGAGCGACTACTGCGTGGATTCCGAGTTTGTTGTATACAAAGATGATGACTTTAGGATTAATTTTGTTAACCTGATGAAGCAGGTAAAGGCCCATAAAGAGCCACAGACCATGTTTATAGGACGCATAGTCGAAAAAGGCAATACGATTTATCGTAATCCAAATCACAAATGGTATCTCTCAAAAGAAGATTATCCTCACAATGTACTTCCGCCTTATTTTCCAGGGGGTGCTTATCTAGTAAGCAGAACCATTGCCAAAAAATTGGTTTCAAATTTTCATTTAGTGAAATGGCTACCAATTGATGATGTTTATATAGGACTTGTTGCGCAAATATCAAATATTACATTAACACATTCAAAGTTGTTTGAATTCAATAACTGTGACAAGTTCCATGAAAATTTGGCCTGTAGAGAGTTCACCAGACCACAAGAGATATTAGAGGCATGGAGGGCCGTGATTGCTGATGACCTTGAAAAAACAAGCTAGTTTAAACTGCAAAACACAGTACCTCTTATCTGTGCAATATTATTAAGATGCTATGCAAATCATTCCATTAGCCGTAAGGACATATTCAAACGAAGAAATTTTCTTCAGATTGCCGAGTTAGGCTAATGATTATAGTCTCATATACTGCTCCAGGCCGGAGTGTGGGAACATGGAAATAAAGTCAAAAGAACACATATTCTTTGTGTGTTTTCATTAACTCTGTAGCATGCGCAGACTTGCTATGCTGCAACATGCTAGAGGTTCACGGCGAGATACTTTTGAATTGGCATAGAGATACAAAAGTAATGTTAGAATTCTTTTATACACATGTAGGAGTATATAAAGATCACAAGGAAATTTAACCGAGGTTCTTACTTCTAATGATACACAATGTACAGAGATGCTATAAGAACAAAGAAGAAGTCAAATTAAGTGATAGGTTTTGATAATATCGCGGGAATTAGTTAATTAGTAACCTTGACCTTTCAATCTGTTAATTTTGAAGAGAGTGGAGGAGGCCAACTGATTTTTAAATAGGTCAGGGTCAAAGGTATAATGACGGAGTGAGCAATGTTGTGACATATAGTAATTATAAAGGTCACTTCTGATCTTTTAATCTCAAACGTCCTGACAAGATGACAAGAATCCTTCTGATTTGATTTCATGTCCTTGAGATAAAGATCAAATGCTGAAATAGGCATTAACAAACAAATTTTGTGTCTACCATTTGACCCTTTAATCAAATGTTTACTATACAGTCTGCAGATCAAACATCAGACATTTTCCAAGTTATATGCAACTAATAAATTCATATTTCTCATTGATATAAGTTTCAATCATTTTATTTAATTAAAAAGAAGATAAAAATGTTAACTGAATTCAATTATTTCTGGAAGAAATATGTGTATTGATACTTGGAAAGTTTTGATGTTTATATGTGTATTGATAACTGGAAAGTTTTTTTTTCTCTAAATGACAGTATTTATCATAACCCCCCCCCCCCCCCCATCTGGAACTTTTACAGAGATGCTCACTGCGGAAAGGATTCTAACTACTGATTGTACACTGACATGCAAATATGTAATCACATATGGCCAATAGTCTCGTATTCTACTCAGAAATGAAAAGATAAAAATCAAGAATGCCAAGGTCAAATGTGTGAGTAATCAGGTATCGGTATGAAATAAACGAGTTTACTGAAAAGAATTTTTTCAGCTGTATTCCTTAAATTTGATTTGAAAAATGAGAAGGAGGTCTTCTGCAGATGCAATGTGTTCTTTTGTTGGCAAAATATACTTTTTGAAAATTATATTCACTAATTTTCAAAATGAAAAGCATACTTCCCCAATAGCATATAGCCCAAGTAGTTCAGACAAACTGCTATTTTTGTCCCCCGCTTTCACTGAAAGTGGGAGATATTAATTTGGGTCTGTCTGTCCGTCCGTCCGTCTGTATTTCTGTCTGTCTGTAGCACTTTCGTTTCCTCGCGATATCTTTGCATTTTGCAGAGGGGCAGTGTGACCCTCCTCCCCCCGAACTGCGCATGCTCTTCCTCTTTTTCCCCTAAGCGGGGGACACAAATTCTCTGAATTAGCTTGTTTTTTATTTATTGTATTAAAAGTCGGTTTGCACTATTTTTAGCACAGGGGCATGTGGAGAGTTATTAAGTATAATACAGGTTGTCGGCGGACTTTATATTCTAATTACGTCTATTAGAACTGTTTAGTAAAGGCCAAATAAGACAACATTAATTTTATTGTGTAATTTTTTGACAATATCGAACGTGAATATAAACATTATATGTGACCTAATGCTTGCATTTAACATTTAATTTGCTATATAATCAAGAGCCTCCGTGGTTTAGTGGTATGTAGCTCGCTTAGCAAACACGAGACTCGGGTTCAATCCCCAGACGATTCTTTTTTTTTTTTTTTTTTTGATTCACTAAATGATACTATTCAACATGTGAAATGAAAAAGTTATAATGACGTCTTGCGTGTACAAACTCATAAAATCATTAATACAGTGTGATAAATATTCTATATATTGAAAAGAATCTTCTAATACACCTATTAAAGAATAAGCAATCAAATCTTTATATCCACACTGACATTTTTTTTAATTTGCTTCAATATACATGTATGCATTTAGTAATTCTACAAATCCAGAGGGGCAGTGTGACCCCCCTCCACCCGAACTGCGAATGCTCTTCTTTTTTTTCCCCTAAGCGGGGGACACAAATTCTCTGACTTAGCTTGTTTATAACATTTTCAAGCAACTGAATTTCACCGTTTGGACAGTATCAGTCATACGGACAGGACAGACTGACACTCTTCGATCAGAAAGGTACACTTGAGTCTTTGGCTCAGTTTGGTCAAAACACTTCGTACCTTCTTTCGCAGATAAGGGTTCTCTGGCAGATTTTGTTTTCCGAGCGAGTGTTCGATATATTTTTTCTCGATTTCTGTTATATTTGGCATTTCCCCTGGACTGTCCCTTACGAAGAACCCCCAAAACAGTGTCCAGAGCAACGAGCAGGATCCTAAGAATAAATTTACCTATCGAAATATTTTCCTATAGGAATGTACGTCTCTAAGTAGATTGCAATTGTGTAAAAGTAATATTTAAAATGAACAAACAAAAAGTATGAATTATACTTCTTCAACAGAAAAGGATATTTTTGTAGAGGTAAAATTAACAAAAGATTCTGTTGTACATAGAATATTGCAGATTTAAAAATATAATTATATGTGCAGAGATATTATTTCGTCTGCCATGTTCTAGGAGGAAAGTTATATCACCTTACCTAAGAAATAGAATATCCACGGCCAGCCTACATATTCACAAAAAAGACTGGATACTGGAAACGCCAGAGCATTTCCAAGCTGAGTGCCTGAAATATACCCAAAAGGTTCAGGATTATATCCTAGAAATGATGACCGATGAAACCGAAACAGGTGCGGATCAAGGATTTTTTTTCCGGGGGGGGGGGGGGGGCACTCCAGGCAAAAAAAAAAAGAAAGTCCAATCCAGAAATTTCTTGACAAGCAGACGTAAAAAAAAAAATCGTGGGGATTGTGGTGGGGTCCACGTTTTCTAAGGGGGGGTTCCAAAGTCATTTTTTATTTGCTTCAGTATATACTTTTATAATAACTCTGCAAATTCCAGGAAAATCCCCCCTAGATCCGTGCATGCGAAATATGTATGCTGCTTTTTCAGTGTCTTAATTAGCTCACCTCCAAATGCAAATCCTACAAGCCTACTTCTTTCATGGGGCGGAGACCATTTGGCCCAAAATGCTTGAGCTCCAGGATACATCGTAGCCTATCAAAGAGAAAAAAAAGCTTGTGCACAAGTATCCAATTGTTAAGTGACTCAAAATTTTTTTATCTTTATACCTACTTCTCCTATTCCTATAAAGACACGTGTTATTATAAGCAGGTTGGGACTTCCTCGGGCAAGGACTGGTGTCAAGATAGTAAGGACGGACACCAATGACATTCCTGCGAAAATCACCAGGCGTGGCCCAAAGCGTTCCGAAAGAACACCCGACGGAATCTGCATAGCTGTGTATCCCCAAAAGAAAGCTCCAAGAATGGCTCCCTGAAGAGCTTTGTCCCAAATAAACTCACCTTCCTAGAAAAGTAACATGAGCGCTTGAGGATATATTTAACTTTTATAATGATCAGTTAATGGAGTATTTTGGTGGGAGCAACACTATACATTATGTATATATTAACATTGTCAGTCGGCATTGTCTTAGACTAGTAATTTTGTATAATATTTTTAAAATCCGTACCATGTGTTCAGAGAGAAGTGGGTCTGGACATAGTTTTGGCACACTGTGTGGAATTTCTGAAGCGTGGCTAGACTGATTAAGGTAGCCCTGCTGATATTTTATTGTGGAATTATTGAGAAGAGTCCTATAGGTTGACATATTGGTAAAGTTTGACTGATACTTCGTGTTAGCTTCCGCGAGTTCCGTCTTTATCATACAGACGATAGCAATGCTGAGGTTGACTCTCTGGGCATACAAGAAAAAGAAACCGACGAAACACAGACCAGAGAAGCGCACTCGCCAAGACGTCCACCACGGAACTGAAAGGACATAATTATTATTAAACAATTTTGATTTAAACAAGAAAAAGTATTTCTACTCTAAGAAAAGATTTTGTTTAAGAAGTCGAGAAAGCAATCGAAGTGAAACATGCCTTTGTGTGCATCCTTGTATGGAAGCGACTGTAGCTGTTCCATGAAATCAGAGGCTGTTGAATTATGATGGGGGTAACACATATTGACACTACGCATGCGTCGGAAAGTTCTGAGTATAGTATCACTTCCTGGTTTCTTACTCTTTCTGCTACGTATAAAGTGTCTTTCCTCAGATCCTCTGTTCCGTGTGGACCTGACATTTGGAAAGACAGTTCTATTTGCAAAATCATTGTTTTTCCACTTCAATTTCTCCTGCTCTGAGGTGGGGTTTGGTTTCAATTCAACAGAATCATCACAATCTTTCAGGTCTGTGGTGGTGTTTGTGATAAGTGTACCATCATTAAGGACCGAGGAATCGGATTTTTCAGAGGTCCCCATTTTTCTTCAATTCAATAAGTCTGCAAAAAGTATAATTATTTGCAAAAATTAGTGTTTTGTATTTTGTTAATTTTAAATGCACTCAAAAATAAGCTATCGTGCGTTAAATTGTGATAAATTATAATTTTTCTTAATTAAAGTAACACGATAAACAATGAATAAATAAATACCCAAATTGATGTGAAAATACAAGTATTACTGTTTTTTACGTCAATACGTTGATTTATCTACCCTAGGAGTACAGTATTCACAGAGCCCCGAAGGCGGAGGTGTATATTGTACTTCGAGGGTTACTAACTCATCGTATTGAATAGCAGTGATTGTCTAATCATGTGACAATCTTTCTAGCTTGTTTAAGTCTACTGAATTCCTGGCCAAAAGGAGATTTTTTGACCGCTCAGTTAAGACATTGGAAATGTTAGACTTATATTAGTATAGATTTATATAGGAAACGATTTTTCAGTTGTTAGGAATTGTGAATATATTTATATGGTCACACACTAGAGAATTTAGATGGGGTAGGGGGAGGGGAGGGGCGCCCCCCTTTTGTGACTAAAAATGTATATATAAGATTAACAAATCGATTCTTTGGTGTGGAATATTGCTTCTGGATACCCCAATAGGTCCCCCCTTTAAGAATCCTTTATCCGCCACTGTCACATGACATTGCTATCTGAAATTAAGACGAACTGACACGACTTAACTGGAGACCAATGACTGATGATCCTATCTAATTTATGCTCTACATGTATATGAAATGTACTTCCATGTGGAAGTAAATAATGTGTGATTTAGGAGCAGGAGAAATGCTCTAGTTCACAAACTAGTTTCTTTTAAAAAGTGAATTTTGGGTAGGCGTCAATTTTAAACTTTGTTTTATCTGTTTAGACTTCAGCCATTCTCATTGCAATGTTTTCAACGTGTTTAGAAATAATGCTGGCAGAGAAAAAAAAACTAATGTTAATCCATTTCACTTGAAAATTGAAAATAATGTAAATATATTAATTTATTTATTAAAAGAACCAAGAAATAAAATTCTTTTTAATAAAGAAACAAAATCAGAAAAAAAAAATCTTCTTTTATACATTTTTTTCCCCGACCAGTGTTCCTGCCATTTAAATATCGATTTTCTGCGATGATCTATCGAAGTCAATTTCTGTTCTAGTATGTTCTAGAACGATTTTATTTATAAATGGTATTTTTTCCCCTCAATCCCGCAGATAAAATTATAAAATAAATATACACATTCTACTCGTTTTTGTTTAATTTTTGGGTGCTTTTCATCCACAATATAAACAATGTAGACATAAATACATAAAAGCTGACTTTTTACTTTACCTGGTTCCAGGAGAGTCACGCCGAATAGGCTGTGCTTAGACGCGTCCCAGAATCAGATATGATCTGATTGATGTCTGCGAGGGATTGAAACAGAAATTACTGTTTGATAAAGTCCAGCATAATAACACCAAACTAAAAAGAGTCGTTCTGGAGCCCAATCTCGACTTCGAGTGACTGACCTATACGCTCCTTGAGTAAATAATAACTTACACAACAATTCGTATTGTAGAAATATTTAAATATAAAACTCGTTATTTTTTTCTGTTCACCGTTTTTAAGGTCTGGAAACAAAACTAGTTGAATAATTGTTTGTTATGTAGAATGTCAGTACTCAATAATTGTTTATGAATATGCAAATTAAATATTCAGTAAAAAAAAATCAGTACAATGAATGAAAGGGCGGATCTAGCCGTATTCATGAATGTCAGTGGTACAACATTCTCCTAAACCGAGCATCCTTTTTTGTAGAATTTTCAGAGTAAACTACCCTTCAAATTACTACAAAACTCTCTCCTAAAAATGGACTCTCTACGAATCTTACTGAAGAAAACCATGCATATCTGAAGAAAAATGGTCGCTTCTTAGACTGATCTCCATCTCCCCAACCTCTTTTGTCAAATTAGATTTGTTCCCCCGCCCTTTAGAAAGTAGTCCTGGATCCGCCATTGGACTATCAATAAGCTAATATTTTATACACAGGCAACTCTATCCCCCTTCTGGAAATTTCTTCAAGGCCTTGAAAAAATTCCCAGAAGGTGGGAGGGGGGCATCCATGCGTCAGGTACTGTGATTCTACATGCAGCGTTTAAACAATAATGAACGCTGTATATTCTTGACGTAATTCAGTTCTTGAGGTAAATAACATTTTTTGTCAATATCTAATCAAAAGAAGAATTACAATTTTTACAAATGACTGAATGAATAAATTATCAATAAAATCAACCAAGTGTAAATTTGCCCCATATTATCCTTCCCCGTAGACCGTGTGGCTAAAGAAAGTGATAATTCAATGAGATTCTTATTTGTCGATAAAAGCCAATTTATATTTAAAAATTAGATGTGTCTTAAGCTTACGAATGCCCCCGCAGGCAGCCAAAATTTCAAAGGCCTTATTTAGTTTTAATGTAGTCCGCGTTCCTAAGTTCAAGAGGGATATTCCAACTGCAATTCCAACCTCATACATCCCTACAAAAGTTTTCTTATTTTTTCTAAGTTCAAGAAGGATAATTATATCAAAAATCATCGAACCACGACCAAATTCTAACTTGACCTGTATTTTCTGGTAAAATACCTGCACATGCAATTTCGACCGTATACATACATCCCTTCAAAAGTTAAAGAGCGGAAACTGAAAATTTCTTATTTTTTTCTAAGTACAAGAGGGGTAACTCTTTCAAAAATCATCGGACCATGACCAAATTCGAACATTCCTATGACGTATTCATATGTCAAATTTGAGTTGAATGTGTGCAACTGTTTTCGAGATAATGAACGGAAAGTCAATGATGACGGAATGACAGAATGACGGAACAGGGTAACACTATATGCCCCCCGGCCATTTTATTGCAGGGGCATAAAAACATGTAATTTTTTATAAGTTCAGTTTTTTAATTGTACCGTGCAATGCATTTTAAGCGTGTGCCAAAAGATGTGAGTTAGTTAACTGTAACATTAAAACTGTATGAGAAATTTCTACCTTATTCTTTAAGCATTCTTTCCTTCCTTTACTTATGCAGCAATATAGTTACCCTTATCACCTTCATATGGGGTGTATATCTCTCAGTTGATTAGATACGCAAGAGCATGCTCTACGTATGAACAATTTCTAAAACGAAGTAAGTTATTGACAAACAAGTTGATGAAACAAGAATATCAACAGTCTCGTTTAAAGTTCATCATTTCGTAAGTTCTCTGGTCGATACAATGACCTTGTCAGTAAATACAATCTATCATTAAGTCATATGATAACTGAAGTTTTTCATACTAATTGTTAGGTCATTATTTACAAACTGAATTATCGAAGGCTTTTTTCCGTTACTCCCCGATCATGACAAGGAGCAAACGGCGGATGTGACCAGTCGGCAGGGGATGCTCACTCCTCCATGGCACCTGATCCCACCTCTGTTTTTGGAGGTCCGTGTTTGCTCTGCTCCCGATTTGTATTGTTTTAATGGACTTCGAGCTTGAATACTGTTCGTTATCTTAATATTTCAAGTAATCGTCAAAATAAATTTCCATGAAAGAAAAAAAAAACAATGAAAAATTGTTCGTTTTCCGAAAAAAAGCCGTATATGTTGTTGATTCAAAATCACTTCCTACGCGTTCTTAGGGTGTCCTGGTGGATAAACTCACTTAAAACACAAGTGTGCATCGTTATCAAACAGATCTTCGGAAAAGACCCCCCCCCTCCGGTAATTAAAAAAAAAACAGAGCACGAGATAATTCATGGATAGAATATATCGTACAGCTGATTAGATATATAACTATTTAGCCCAGAATCAGCTGAGTGAATTTATACTGTAATGAACTTGATACAACATACATTTGTCAACTCATCTTAAATGTTAAGTATTTTAAATTAAAACAAGCTAATAGCAGTGCTAAAAAAATTAGTGAGGTAAAAAGTCTTTTATTCAGTTATTTGGCCTGTGGTAGTTTGGTTAAGAAAGGAATTAAAGGGATGCAGATGTTGCTCATCATAAATAAATAAATAAATAAATAAAAAATAAATAAATGAATAAATAAAATAAAAGGAAAAAAGTTTGATTATTTTTTCTAAATCCAAGAAGACACTTGGCAACCACGAATGCAGCTTTTCTGCAAATTGTAATAAAGTGTTCAGCATCTTACAGAAACTATCGAATCATGCATGAGCGCCTAGAATTCACACCATTTAAAAAAAATCCATTGAAAAGAAACAGAGCTGAAGCTGATAAAGGAGTATAATCTACATATGACATACTGAAAAGGAATGCAATTATTAATAGATTATGATATGTTCAATGTCTCGACAGTGGATTAATGTGAAAATTGGCGAGAAATGGTCTGTAGTGATTGAAGCAACGTTAAAATCAGATCAACACATACAACTATGAGTTGCCTCTGATTATCACTCGGTGAATATACATTACATTGATACACATTGGGTAACCTCATGGCAGGACCCTTGTGACTTCAAGATAAAGTTTATGATTCGTTGTTCTGTAAGCACGTCTAGAATATTGCCATTCTTAAAGATTTTTGATGACCTTAGCATGGTAAAAGATATCCCCTCCCCCACCCCCTTTTCCGTGCTTCTGTTTGTTTGAATTTAATTGCCAATTCATCAAATTCTTTTGAAATAATATATTTAGACAGAAAATGACTTAATGTTGATTTACTGGGTCGAGGGAAATGCATGAAACCTGCAGAACACCATAACAAATAGATAAAAGTAACACTCTCTAAAATTATTTATGCACAAATAATTTTAAAAATTTAGAAATAAAAAAAAAACGCTCCTAAAAAGAGCAAATCATGACAAGGCCAATGATCTTATACATGTATCTACACAATTTTTCTGATGATTATACTCTAGGACAGTCTGCATAAAAGTTTTAATCCAACAGACCACGTCATCTTGTGGACCATATGCATGTGCATTTACAGTAGCACGTGCAAAT